TATTTAGGTTTGTCAGTAATCACATACTCTGTGATTATCATCTTCTCACATAGATTTTAGAAACTTTGTACACATGAACATCATAGTGCATGACATTGAGTAAATGAAAATATGGATTTCTAATGAACACTTGAGGATAGGGTGTTTTCATTTCTTTATTTCTAAATTTAGGTTTAAGAATCTCTAAATATTTAAAAATTCCCAAATTTATAAATATATTAATAAAAGGAAGGCCAAACTACTATGCTACTATGATTTCATGTTTCTCCTTTTGGCAATGTCTCAGTTAGTGAGTACATGAGTGAGAGATGTTACGAAGATCACGTCTTACTACTCCTATTGATCCCACCTATTGCCTATCAACAGCTCTACTATCACAAGAGACAGACAGTGCCTCTTAAGATGGTACCATCTGTAAAGTGTTCTTGCCAGACAATCCTGAATCTAATCAGACCACTAGACATTGCCAGTCCACAGGAAACGCAGGTGCCATAAGAATGTTAAATGATAGTACACAACTATAGTAAGCAGCTGCTAGAGGATAGATAAATGGTTCCTTTTATTTCCAACGAAGTCCAGCTTAGAACAGAACCTAGAGTAGAACTGATCTGAGTGGTTGTCATACTAATGCTACTATGTGTCCTTATTTGAATCCTACCTGAATTAAACAAAACCGTAAAAGTAACACTGAAGATGAGGGGGAAAGGGAAATTTCTTACAATTGGAAGGCAATTGGAAATTCAGGCCCCAAGCTGAGATTTTTATGTTAAAAAGCACTAGTTAACTATTTTGAGTAGTGGATTTGCAAAAGCTCTCCATGAAATAATTTGTTATTGGGATAACCAATAGTACAGATGACCTAGGAATCCTATTTCTTGAGACTTCTCTCAAGTATTCCACACACTATTGAGCAGTACTGAAACTCAGGCAGGTTTGCTAGCACATGCCTATAATCCCATCATTTAGGTGGAGGCTGGGTTATTGTGAGTTCAAGATCATCTTTGGCTACATAGCAGGTTTGTAGTCAGCCAATCCAAAAGAGACCTGATCCAAAAGTGGTACTGAAACTATCACAAGATGACAGTTGACTTTTGTTTTGGTGTTCATGCCCCATTGTCTGTTGTAGCAAAGAGTTGGAAACAACCTCACTTGAAACAGAAAGATGCTGTATATTCTTACAGTAGAATTCCCAGCTGTAGCTCTGACGCCTACTGGCAATGCCTCAGTTTTCTCATGTTACCGAAATGGGAAGTAGTAGTGGACTGCTTTGAGGACTGAATTAATAATAAATACAGTAAGGGAATCCTCATCAGCTTAGATAGTTCTGCATTACTCTTAAAGATCATTACATGTTTATGACATTGGACCTGCCAGCTAGCCTTCTTCCCTGAAATGCAGTTTCCCTCTGAGTCCCATAAATGAATTGTGATCCATTTCTAGCCAGACAGACTTGAGACAGTTCCTTCATACTCACATAACTCCAGATCATCTCCTCTGGTACTGTGTGTCAGTCTGTGAGGGTCTCAGTTGGGCTTGCTGTTTGGTGAGCATCGTGAGTCTGTTCTCCACATCCCGTCTCATGCTGGGTCTCTTTTGAAAGCTTTGTAGAAAATGAATGGCACTGTTTAATCTAGTACCTTCAGGGCTATTTTTTCTAGATAAGGAAGGAAGTCAAAACATTATTAAATATCTTACAAAATTGGATGACTAAGTATCATTTGTTTTTAGGACATAATTATAAGAAGTGTTATGAACTGTAGAGTAAATATTTGTGCCAGAATAAGGGTAAACGAGATGTCATTTGACAAGTGTCTCCTATCACCACCCTCTCACCCTCAGGACAGGACAGTCACTAAGAGAGCACATGGACCAGTTTGGAAAACCTTCCCAGAAAACGCTTGCTACCAAAGAAGTGATTGACTAGATGAGAGACAGTTTTGTTCATAGTTATTATTTTCCAAGTTTACTAGACCTGTGCTACTGTCACTGGTTCCACTGATCTGAAACCCTAAAAGGTATCATTGCATCTCTTTACCCATAATTGTATTAAAGTTCCATTTTATAGAATATGGTAATTTTTGTGTCTTAAGGAAAATATAGTCAGATGTGGTAGAGAAGGCCACTAACCCTATGACACCTTACCTTAACCTGAAGCAGGAGACCCCTGAATTTGAAGCCTGCCTGGGATGATTAGATAGTGAATTCTAGAACAGCTGAGACCCTTTCGTTACATACATACATACATACATACATACATACATACATACAAACCACCGCCTCATTTCTGTGTGACTTGGGCAAATCTGTTCTCTCAGAGTCTTAGATGGTCAGTGAAGATATCCAATATTCCTTCTACCTACTTTTTCCAAAGTTCTGCTTCTGTAATTGCCAGTTGAAACTATGATGATGTCTAGGCAGAAAAGGTTTCACTGCCCTCTGCTGGTACTAAGAACATAGTTGTCCATTGGCACAGTATTAATACTAAGTGGAACAAGTATTCCCTCCTCACAATTGAGCTTAGCATGAAATCACCAAGAAAGAAGGCATATTTCATGCTCTAAAGAGGTATTTTAAGTGCTTAGGAATTAATGATTTCTCATACATAGCTTAAGCAGATGCTATAGCTATTTGTGGACTAGCTTGCTGCCACAAAAAAAATTATCTTATGATCCCTTCATTGTGTTGTAATTTTCACCTAGAAAACAAACTGTGGCTCTGACTATTTGGGTCACGGTCATTTTTTACACCATTTTTTCTGCCTTTGTTGAAAAAAATTTAGAAAAGTTTTATATATTTATTTAGTTTATGTGTAAACTAAACTATTTCAGTGGGTATGTGACCAGGAAAAGCAATATGGAGCATGGCTGAGCGTAATGCATAAGAAGAAAGGCAGGGCTTCATTAACCCGTCAGATTCATGGAGATTCTCTTAAACCTAGAGACTGATACGGACAGCTCAGTTTTCTGAATTCATCTATATTCGTATCATGTCAAGACGACAGACTGTTTAGAGCTTCCGTGTTTACAGTGTGCTACGTTTGTAAGAAATGGTTCTACCTTGGGTTAGACTCAAGGGGAAGGCAACTTAAAATTGTGTTTTGGGGAAAAGGGTATGAGGCAGGGTCTCTCTACATAGTCCTGGCTGTCCTGGAGCTCACTATGTAGACTAAACTAGCTTTGACCTTACATAGATCCACTTACCTCTCTGCCTCCCAGGTGCTAGGATTAAAGACATGTGCCATTACACCCAGCTCAGAATTATACTCTATCTTATTTAAATTTTAGTTTCTACAATCTCTTTGAGACATGTATGGCATGTTTTCTCTCATGCAAAATCTAAGAAGCTCATATGTTTATAATATGACATGAAAGTAGAAGGAGGACTATTTGGGGAGGAAGAGAATGGGGAGTAATGGGTAAAAATGAACAAACTACAGTGGTATGAAAATCCAAAATAAAATAAAAAGTCTCATTCAGAATAAGTCTTTGTACTGAAGTGAAGGTCTAAAATGTATAAACCACTCACTAGGGTCTTTATGTAGAGTCTGGAAGGAACACATGATTCAGTGCAGTTTCTGCTACCACAACAAGCAAAACCACACACATTTTTGCTCATGAATTCTCATGGAAGAAAAGATCTGAAGTGAGTAAATGAGGCATCATGAAAACCAAACATGACCTTCCCCTCTTTCTGCCTCATGGTCAGCATCTATTTATACCTTATATAAGGAACTGCAGTTTTAGCTAGTCACCTCCGTAGCAGTGCACAGCCTTGTCTTGAAAGGAACTTGCATTGTATATGGCACATTGATTCTTGCAGGCAAAATCGCAGTCACCCTGCTTGTAAGTGTGTAAGACTAAATTTCATGGTATACTTGGTGCTTGCTCTAGCTTTATTTAGGGTTGGTATGCCCTAGATCAAGAAGGAAATTACTTCAAACATAGCATTCTAATGATATCTTACTTAGGTTACAAAATTCTAAAAATGAACTTTTGCTTCATAATTATGTATATAAACTTAACAGTAATGATCTTTAGTTAAACTTAACAGCAATGATCTTTAGTATTGAACATTTCAGAAGAGAATTCGGCTTACTAAATTTCTTAAAAAGAAAATTTATCAGAAACTATACTTCTAATTACAAAAAAAACAGATTCATTCAATACAGAAGATGAAATGGATCACAATTTTTCAATATTTCCTGTTATATTATTTATTATTTGCTAAGAAGTGGCATTAATTTCATTAATTATTTAATGTATTTTTAAAATACACCATACGGTGGTATTTTTATAACCTCAGCACTCATAAGGCTAAGGCAAGAAGATTAAGAGTTCTGAGACAGCCTGGGTTGAATGGTAAGACCCTGTATCCCAAAAAATAATAATAGTAATAATAATAATTAAAATTTATGGACCAGTGAGATGGATCAGTGGAAAAAGATGTTTGTCAGGAAGCCTGAAATTTTTATTTCGATCCTCAGAATCCACATGGTAAGAGAGAACCTACTCTACAGGTTGTCCTCCAGGGTCTGAACACAGACCATAGCACGCGCGCGCACACAGAGAAAGAGAGAGAGAGAGAGAGAAATAAACGTAAAAAATCATAAATGGAAGTAAGATAAATTTTTGATTACTAGAGTTTTATGTTTAGGTTGTGTTGGGTTTTAGTGTGCATCCCAGGTATAACTTCACAGTACCCACCCTGTACATACCAGAGTAGTAGATACTTTTTTATAGTCTGTAATTCAAAGAATTACATTAATTCTATAGTTAATAGTGTAGTTACTGTTAAAATTCACATTTGGGTAAAAAGTAAGCAAGATTTTAAAGGATTTCATAGAGCACCCTCAGTTGTCAGTTGAACGTGAATACAGTATTGATTGCTAAGCCTTTAAAGAAATCTTTGTGTCACCTCTACAATTAACTGTAGCACCTGTGTCCGTCTGAACTGTCATAATCTGCCTGCACCGTGCTGATAGATATTACATGTTCTTGCAGAAACTTGCCCCTGGAGTCAGCCAGTTTGCCTACACCTGTGTTCAAGACCACCCCATTTGGACAAATCAGCAGTTCTGGGAGACAACTTTTTACAGTGCAGTACAGGAGCAGGTTCGCTCCCTGTATCTCACAGCAAAGGAGGACAATCATGCCCCACATCTGAAGCAGAAGGTAAGAGAAGAAGGGTACTTGGATGTGGCTGGGGTTGACTTTAAAAAACACTCGGGCAGATGGTCCTAGGGCAAAGAGACTCTACCTGCTTTGTTCCTGGGTGTTAGGGAGTCCTGTGGTGAGCATCTTTCTTCCTTTGATTCTGGCACTATATTTTTTTAATAATGACCTTATACTACAGTTCTTTAGCACTAGAATTGTTTTGTTATATTTTGATAAGAATTCCTTAAAAACCGAATAGAAGGAACAAACCTAAAATAGGTCCAGGTACAAGCCTCTAACTGCTTACTTCCTTGAAGAAATCCAAGCTTAACTCTGAAATAAAATGTTTTTATGTAGCATGCTCAAGACCTTGAGTTCAGGTACCAGCGCTGGAAGAGGAAAGAGAAGAAATTGAAGTTAAGTGACTAAAAAGATAAATGTAAAAATTCAGTAGTCCTATTCAAAATATATCAGCAATAACCAAAGTCTTCCTTTATTTATTCTCTGTGTGTATATATTAGTAGTATTTGCTCTATACACATATATTTAAATACCAGGAAAATAAAAATTAAAATACTCCAATTTTTAAATGTCATTTAATAGCTCTCTTTATACTGACTAATCACATTACCCCCACACTTCCTCATCGGAGAAATGTGTAGCTGTCACTTCTGAAGATTTTCATATCTAATATATATAAGGCTTACTAAGAGTTCTTGGCACACACTAAGTAGTTAGTATTAGAAATCATCACCCTCATGAACTGAGCTTAAAGCAGCCTAAAAGACTCACTGTTGATTCACTTCAGAGTGATTTTAAGATCAGCCTTTTTGAACTGCAGATTCTTGGGAAGATATCACTGCAGATTCTGTCCATCATCTTCTACTTTAACTTGTGTCTAGATAGGATGGATTACCCTAAGCATCTTAGAGAAGCTACATAGTCATATTCCAATACATCTGGGATTCATCGTTTTAAAAAAATTATTGGTTTATTATTAAGTAGAAGAATAGAAACTTTAATAAAAAATAACACTGACATGTGTCTGATTGTTATAGTTCAAATGTGAATTGTTTTCTTAATTAAATTAATATTCAGATTTGTTGTTGTTACACAAAATGTACCACTTACAGTATAACGTAGCAGATGCAGAGACTTTTCCTGAGGCCACACTCAGGAATAATCAGACTGTAAGGATTTCTTTGTTAATTTTATATGTTTTTTAATTGATTTTTATTGAGCTCTACATTTTTCTCTGGTCCCCTTCCTGCCTCTCCCCTCCCCTTCAACCCTTTCCCAAAGTCCCCATGCTCCCAATTTACTCAGGAGATCTTGTCCTTTTCTACTTCCCATGGAGATTAAATCCATACATATCTCTCTTAGAGTCCTCATTGTTGTCTAAGTTCTCTGAGATTGTGATTTGTAGGCTGGTTTTCTTTGCTTTAAGTTTAAAAACCACTTATGAGTACATATGATAATTTTCTTTCTGTGTCTGGGTTACCTCACTCAAAATGATGTTTTCTAGCTCCATCCATTTGCCTGCAAATTTCAAGATGTTGTTATTTTTTTCTGCTGTGTAGTACTCCACTGTGTAAATGTACCACATTTGCCTTATCCATTCTTCAGTTGAGGGGCATTTAGGTTGTTTCCAGGTTCTGGCTGTGACAAACAATGCTGCTATGAATATAGTTGAGCACATGTCCTTGTGGCACAATTGAGCATCCTTTGGATATATACCCAAAGGTGGTATTACTGGATCTTGAGGAAGGTTGTTTCCTAATTTTCTGTGAAATCACCACACTTATCCAAAGGGATTGTACCAGATTGTCCTCTCACCAGCAATGCAGAAGTGTTCCCTTTACCCCCAATCCTCTCCAGCATAAGTTGTCATTGGTGTTTTTGATCTTGGCCATTCATGCAGATGTAAGGTGGAATCTCAGAGTTGTTTTGATTTGCATTTCTCTGATGACTAAGGATGTTGAGCATTTCATTAAGTGTCTTTTAGCCATTTTAGATTCCTCTGTTGAGAGTTCTCTGTACTCCATTTTTTATTGGATTATTTGTTCTTTTAATGACAAATTTCTTGAGTTCTTTATATATTTTGGAGATCACACCTTTGTCTGATGTGAGGTTGGGAGGATCTTTTCCCATTCTTTAGGCTGTCGTTTTATCTTGTTGATGTGTCCTTTGCTTTACAGAAGCTTTTTAGTTTCAAGAGGTCCCATTTATTAATTGTTTATCTCAGTGTCTGTGCTACTGGGGTTATATTTAGGAAGTGAGTGGTCTCCTGTGCCAGTGCATTCAAGTGTACTTCCCACTTTCTCTTTTATGAAGTTTAGTGTGGCTGGCTTTATGTTGAGGTCTTTGATCCATTTGGACTTGAGTTTTGTGCATGGTGATAGATATGGATCTTTTTTCATTCTTCTACAGGTTGACATCCAGTTATGCCAGCACCATTTGTTAAATATGCTTTCTTTTTCCATTTGATATTTTTTGCTTTTTTTGTCAAAATCGGGTATTCGAAAGTATGTGGATTAATATTTGAGTCTCTGATTTAGTTCCATTGGTTTTCCTGTCTGTTCTTATGCCAATACCAGGCTGTTTTCAATACTGTAGCTCCGTAGTAGAGTCAGGGATTGTGAGGCCTCCAAAAGTCCCTTTATTATACAGGACTGTTTTGACTATCCTGGGTTTTTTGCTTTTCCATATGAAGTTGAGTACCATTCTTTTGAGGTCTGTGAAGAATTTTGCTGGGATTTTGATGGGCATTGTATTGAATCTGTAGATTGCTTTTGGTATGATTGCCATTTTCACTATGTTAATTCTACCTCCCCAAGAGCATGGGAGATCTTTCCACTTTTTTTTGGTGTCTTCTTCAACTTTTTTTTTCAAAGTTCTTGTCATACAGGTCTTCCACTTGTTTGGTAAAAGTTATTCCACGATATTTTATGTTATTTGTGGCTATTGTGAAGGGTGATATTTCTCTGATTTCTTTCTCAGCCCATTTATCATCTGTGTACAAGAGGGCTGATTTTTTGAGTTAATCTTGTATCCTGGTACATTACTGAAGGTGTTTATGAGTTATAGAAGTTCCCTGGTAGAACTTTTGGGATAACTTATGTAAACTATCATATAATCAGCAAATAGTGAATGTTTGACTTTTCTGATTTGAATCCCCTTAATCTCCTTTTGTTGTCTTATTGCTCTAGCTAGGACCACAAGAACTATATTGACTAGATATGGAGAAAGTGAACAACCTTGTCTTTTCCTGATTTCAGTGGTATTGCTGTGAGTTTCTTGCCATTTAGTTGATGTTGGCTATTGGCTTGCTGTATATTGTCTTTATTATGTTTAAGTATGTTCCTTGTAATCCCTACTCTCCCCAAGACCTTTATCATAAAGGGATGTTATATTTGTTGAAAGCATTTTCAGCATCTAATGAGATGATCGTGTGGTTTTTATTTTTCAGTTTGTTTATATAGTATTAAGGGATATTAATGACCAGTGATTGCTATCTCCTGTTGGTTTAGTTTTCATTGTTGGTTGTGTTAATTTGTGTGTTCTTCCCTTCTTTGGGACTTGCTGCTGTGAGATCATCAAATGTCTGTATTTTTGTTGATGTAGCCACCTTCCTTGAGTTGGAGTTTTCCTTCTAGTACTTTGTGTAGAGCTGGGTTTATGGCTAGGTATTAGTTAAATCTGGTTCTGTCATGTAATATCTTGTTTTGTCCTTCTATGGTGATTGAAAGTTTTGCTCAGAATAGTAGTCTGGGCTGCTATCCGTGGTCTCTTTATGTCTGCAAAATGCTTGACCATGACCTTCTGGCTCTCATTGTCTCAAATGAGAAGTCAGGTATAATTCTGATAGGTCTTCCTCTATATGTTACTTGGCCTTTTTCTTTTGCATCCCTTAATTTGTTTTCTTTATTTTGTATGTTTAGTGTTTTGATTATTATGTGGTTAGGGGCCTTTTTTTTTTTTTTGATCCAGTCTATTTGGTGTTCTGTTAGCTTCTTGTACCTTCACAGACATATCTTTCTTTAGGTTGGGAAAGTTTTCTTCTATGATTTTGTTAAATATATTTTTCTGTGCCTTTGAATTGAACTTCCTCTATACCTATTATTCTTAGGTTTTGTCTTTTCATGGTGTTCCATATTTCCTGGAAATTTTGTGTTAAGGTTTTGTCAGATTTAATGCTTTGTTTGGCTGATGAATCTATTTCCTCTATTGTATCTTCAGCTCTTGAGATTCTCTCTTCCATCTCTTGTATTCTGTTGTTTAGGTTTGCATTTGTGGTTCCTGATCGTTTTCTCATGATTTCTGTTTCTATAATTCCATCAGCTTGTGTTTTCTTTATTGTCTCTATTTTAGTTTTCAAGTCTTGAATAGTTTCTTTCATATGTTTGACTGCTTTTTCTTGGTTTTCTTTAATGGATGTCTTCCAATTTTTTGTCTTTTCCTCCATTTCTTTGAGGGAATTTCTCATTTCCTCTTTAAGAGTTTCAAATATTCTCCTGAAGTTATTTTTTAGGTCATTTTCTTCTGCTTCATCTATATTTGGTTGTTCAAGTCTTGCTGTTGTAGGATCTCTAGATTTTCCTGGTGTCATGTTGCTCTTTGTGCTGTTGTGTGTGTTCCTACCTTATCTACTCATCTTTTCCTCTAATTGGTGTGGTTGGTGCTATCTGTGACTCTGGTGACTAATATTCTAGGTGCCAGTGAATCCAGGGCTCAGATGGTTGTTCCTCATGGTACAGTCAATGCCTTTGGTCACTTTGTGTTTCTGGAGGTCACTCAGAGCTTCCAGGGTTTGTTCAGGTCCCATGGAGTTTGCTGTCTCAGGCCTGCTCTGGTCTAGCTTCACAGCTCAGACCTGTTTCTGTAAATATCCCTGGTCTGGATCTGCTCCTGCAGAGGTCCCTGGCTTGGGGTTGGTCTGTAAAGGTCTCTGGCTCCAGTCTTCTCCCTCGGAGGTCCCAGACTTGGAAGCACCTGGACCCACAGAGGACCTGGCTCAGGCCTACTCCATCAGAGGTCCCAGACTCACACCCAGACCCACAGAGGTCCTGGCTCAGGCCTACTCCCTAGAAGGTCCCAGATTCATGCCTGGACCTGCAGCGGTCTCTGGCTCTGGCCCACTCACTCAGCAGTTGCTCACCTGTACCTGCTCCTATGGAGTTTGCTGTCTTAGCCTCGCTCCAGCCTAGGTTGCTGGCTCAGTCCTGCACCCATGGAGCTTGTCACCTTAGGCCTGTTCCAGCCTAGGTCGCTGGCCTCTTCTTCATTAATTTTTAAGCAACTGTGATTTGCTGACATTGATATATCTACAAATCATTCATTCAGCAATTTGTCACAGCTGTTGTGTCGTTCCTTCTGAAAAAGAAACCTATCTCTGGGCACTGAATTAGATACAATATGTTTTAGCTTTCCCTGGCTAGATAAAATACTTTTCAGATGTGAGTTGCTGTTACCAGCTATCGCTTCAGCCTTCTAGGAAACCCATCTTTAAAATTTCACAGTATGTTTTTTGTGTGTGTGTGTGTGTATGTGTGTGTCTGTGTGTGTATGTGTGTGTGTGTGATGTTTAACTATCACATTATAAGGAGATCTAGCTGTACTTTTTATGACCTTTTGTGACCATTTCCTCTCAAAGAGCAGAAGAGAAAAAGAATAATTTTGGCAGATACTACTGAAGTGTTCCTGCAAGGGCATTTATGAGAAATCTTTGTTAATTTTTGTAACGAGTAGCTTCAAAGAAGTAAAACCCCAGAGTGAGATGTAAACACAGTGAGATGTTTGAGTGAGAAACATGCATCTGTGTTTTGCTACTGCTCCTTTGAATTTGCCATGTGGTGCCAACAAAAGCATGCAGGCCAGGGGTAAATATTGCAGTGCACTTTGGTTGTTATGCTGAGTTTCACTCTGCTAATACAGGTACTTAATAAATGCTTCCCATGATATTCAAGAGACTCAGCCCAACATGCTGACGTACATTAGTAATCCCAGCACTTGGGAGGTGAGGGCAGGAGGCTCAAGAGTTCACAGTTATTTCAGCATACAACAAATGAAAGATGAGATTCTTTCTCAAAATAAAAAAGGAAGTCCATTTCCTGGTCTTTAAATATTTTCTTGAATTTTTTAAAATATTTGTATATACTGATAAAAACTATACTAAAAGATACAGAATATCCCAATAGAAGAACTAGATTTAAGTCATGGACTGATTTCAGCACCTCCCATGTCTATGGAGCACACATGCAGTGATGGGTATTCACCCTTGGAGCACACATGCAATGATGGGTATGCACCCTTGGAGCACACATGCAATGATGGGTATTCACCCTTGGAGCACACATGCAGTGATGGGTATTCACCCTTCGTGCACACATGCAGTGATGGGTATGCACCCTTCGTGCACACATGCAGTGATGGGTATTCACCCTTGGAGCACACATGCAGTGATGGGTATGCACCCTTGGAGCACACATGCAGTAATGGGTATGCACCCTTGGAGCACACATGCAATGATGAGTATGCACCCTTGGAGCACACATGCAGTGATGGGTATTCACCCTTGGAGCACACATGCAGTGATGGGTATGCACCCTTGGAGCACACATGCAGTAATGGGTATTCGCCCTTGGAGCACATATGCAGTGATGGGTATGCACCCTTGGAGCACACATGCAATGATGGGTATTCACCCTTCCTGCACACATGCAGTGATGGGTATGCACCCTTGGAGTACACATGCAATGTTGGGTATTCACCCTTCATGCACACATGCAGTGATGGGTATTCACCCTTGACTTGTTTTGCTTTATCTTCTGGGTTAAGCTTCCCAATGGCCAACATCAAGAGAAGACAGCAATGGACTTGGCAGCCGAGCAGCTTCGCCTTTGGCCTACTCTGAGCAAGTCAACTCAGCAGGAGCTGGTACAACATGAAGAAAGCACTGTCTTCAGTCAAGCCATTCACTTTGCAAACCTAATGGTTAACCTGCTAGTCCCACTAGACACAAGTAAAAACAAGCTCCTTCGAGCATCAGCTCCAGGAGACTGGGAAAGTGGGAGCAACAGCATTGTCACAAACAGGTACTAAGATGGAGCACGCAACTCCTTCTCTTCTCCGAGTAATCGGACCTCAGCAGAAACAGCACATATTACTGTATATATTTCAGAATTGACCATTTTTCCCATCTATAGCTTGCTCATCCTTTCTGTTACAAACAAACTTTCCTTCATCCTGCATAATCTGACACACACATATACTTTCTTCTATTTTATGACCTAATCTGGCAGTCTATTACTACTGATGTGGCCCATCAGTTACATTCTTCTAAAGCCAAGTGCTCTGAAAAATGACTGGTGGGCAACTGCTGGTCAAAGTGATTGTTTCTTGGCCTTATGGAGGTATGGTATTGAGTTTGGGGTTTTTTGAGACCAGATCTCACTAGGCTGGCCTCAAGCTTGTAATCATCCTATCAGCTTCCCACGCTGTTCTATCACATCACAGTCTGACATATTTTCATGTCTGCATAGTATCATGTCCTTTCTTTGTTGTGTTCATTGTTCAGTTCCCTACATCTTTGCAGATAGTAGGTGCTGGGTAAAAATATTTAACTGAATGGGTGCTTGAATGAAGAATGAATGAATGAACGAATGAATGAATGAACCAGCCCTGAGCAGCAGTTTTAGCTCTTTATCGTAGGTGCTCCAACAACACCTGCTAGTTGTAGTTCTCATAAACTTTTGTCAGACTCCTTCAGACAGCTCCTTTTTCCCTTTTTATTCAGTCCTGCTTTGTTTCATTTCGGATGTGTTGCCTTGCCCTGGAAGAAGAATGTGGCTTCACAGTGGCTCTAAAGGTTGTAATTTACTGCAAGGGAGGAGTGCAGGGGAGCTGGGAGAAAAATTCTGGCAAGAGAAAGAGGGTCATAACAATCGCATTCTTCCATGTGGAAGAACATGTAGATTTCTCAAAAGGGTTCATTTACTCTGCCTACCAAGGCACACTTTCCACAGTCACTAGCATCAGCCACATTCCTCTCGCCTCTCTGTGACGATCAACTTGGAAGGACAAGTTTTTTTTTTTTTTAGAAGGTTCTGGTAGCGGAGAATAAATGACACAGTATTCCTTTGCTTTATTTTCTGTGGTTTCTAAGTTCCTTTTGGGAGAGTAATAGAAGGTATTGCTTACAAAAATAAATCTTAGCCCAATAGATGATGCTTAAACATAGGCACATAGAAAGCAACATTTCACACCTGCCACCGACAGAAAGAAACCCTTCTACTGAGTGTACACCTCTGTGAAAGGTCTATGATGTTGTCATTCTTTTTTCTTAATTTGAGACCTGACCATGATTTCTTTCCTTAACTCTCTTAGTATTGCAGGAAGTGTAGCCGAGAGCTATGATACAGAGAGTGGGTTTGAAGACTCAGAAAATAATGATGTTGCCAACTCCGTTGTAAGGTTCATTGCCCGATTTATTGACAAGGTTTGCACAGAGAGTGGAGTGACTCAGGACCACATCAGGAGTCTCCACTGCATGATACCAGGTAATGGATCACCTCACATAGGCTAAGGAATCAGAGTGCTCCAGGGACCTAGGTCCCAGGACAGTGCCTGAGTGCCTGCTTTTTCTCTGACTTGCTTTTTATTTCTTTTACTGTTGTTTTGTTTTCTAAGACAAGGTCTTGTGTAACCCAAGCTAACCTCACATCACACTGTCCCCAGGCTGGCCTTGATTTCCTGATCCCCAGCTTGTTTTCCAAGTGCTGGGATTATAGGCGTGTGCTACCGTGACAGGTTCTAAAGTTTTATTGCATTGTGGCAAATACATAGCATAAAAGTTGCATTAATTATATCCACAGTGTTCTATAAATCACCATTATTTCCTAAACTTTTAAGTCACTCAAAATAGATATTCAGTAACTAATATTAGGTAATAACTTTTGTTTCTTCAGTTCCTGCCTCTGGAAATAGCTAACCAGCTTTCTGTTTTCATGAACTTTTCTATTCTAATGATCTTACATATGTAGAGTCATATAATGTTTCAATTTTGTGTCCAGTTTTTTTCACTTAGCATATAATGTTTACATGGTTCATCCATGTGTCACTTCGCTCATTTTTTATGGTTGAATGCTATTCCATTCTATGGATATATCTTACTTGTGCAGCCATTCATTTGTCAGTGGAGACTTGGGTTTTTCTACTTTTAGAGATTTGTGAATGATGATTCTATGAATATTTGCTTACAGGTATCTGAGTATTTATTTTCAATTTTTTAGTTGTATATACCTAGGAATAGAATTTTATGGATTACATGATTATTATATTTTAACTTTTGGAGAAACTGTCAAACTTTATTAGTTTTTCATTCTAAAATATCTGGAATTTGCTTTTGTTCTCTCTGGTTTATTTTCTTTCCTTTTGAATCCTCTGACTCATCCTAGGAATTGTAGCTATGCACATTGAGACCCTAGAGGCAGTGCACCGAGAGAGTAGAAGACTTCCACCTATCCAGAAGGTAATGACGCCACACTGTGCTTTCATGGTGCAGCAGCCCTTTCAGAGCACAGCAGCAGTGGGCTTCTTCTCAGCTGCGTACAGTTTGAATGGTGCAGTGAAGGTTCTGGGGAGTTTGCCATATAGAATTTTGTAAACCGCCGAAATACGAATGCTGTCTTTTTTATGATTCAACAAAAGAACAATAGTAACCTCTTGTTAACTCTACTTTTATACGGAGGTCATAAATTATGAATAATTTTAATTCCCAAGACCAATCCCAGGGTTTATATACCTTCCTCCTACCCAAAAAAGAAAAGATTTAAACGTTTACCATAAAAGTGCTGGGTTCTTGAATCTGGCTGTCCACAACAAACATCAGGGAAGTAGATTAAGGATTTGGCGTTCTTGGTCTCCTGATTAGAAAACCCTGGGACCTAGAAATCTGTATTTGAGGAAGCCACTCAACAGTTATTTTGCTACTGGCTTCATGCCTATTGCAGACTAAAATTTGGGCAGAACTATTAAAAATACACCCAAAGGAGTGTTCTGAAGCCACACAGGACGCAGCAGCAGTTCTGCCTGAGGCTTAAGATACAATAGTCAATACACTTTGATTTCTGCTCTTAGTTCTAGGATTCCTAGAGCCTGAAAAGAAAAATAATGCTGATTTAGGTCATTTTTGTTTTGAGGGGTGTTTTATTGTTGTTTTGTTTGTTTAATTTTGGTTTTTATTTTGAATTTTGAGTTTCTTTCTTTCTTTCCTTATTTTTTTTTTTTTTTGAGACAGGGTCCCAGTATATAGCTTTGACTATCCTGAAACTCATTGTGTGGGCCAATCTGGCCTCATACTCACAGAGATCTACCTGCCTCAGCACCAAGTGCTTGGGTTAAAGGTGTGCACCACTATGCCCTGCTTGACTTAGATAGTTTTAATCCCTGATTAAAGCACAGATGTTCAAGGAGAATGATTTCTTTCCTTGCCCACATCTCCCAAGAGGAATCTTATCATATTGTTTGTCTTATACTGGACATTGAACTAAATTTCTCATGTGTAAAGTTCATTACTTGGCCAAAAAGTATAACTCTCGGACTGGAACGATGGCTCAGTGGTTAAGAGCACTGACTGCTCTTCCAGAGGACCCAAATTCAATTCCCAACACCCACATGACAGCTAACAATTGACTGTAACTCCAGTTCCAGGGGATCTGACACCTTCACATCAATGCACATAAAATAAAATTAAATAAAAAAATATTTAAAAAAAAAGTATAACCCTCTTTTTAAAATATAAATCCATGGCTATCCATGGCAGTACATGCCTTTAGTCCTAGTACTGAGGAAATGGGCAGGTGGATCTGTGTGAGTTCAGTGCCAACCTGGTCTACATAATGAATAGCAGGCCAGTCAGGACAAACAACAAAAGCTAACTATGGAGCCAGGAATGGTAGCACTCACTGTAGTCTCAGAACTTAGAAAGTGGTTGCAATAGGATGAGGAATTCACAGCCATTCTTGAGTATCTAATGGTCTGTATTCTTTACTCTCAGAAGAAACCCTGTCCAAAAGATAAAATAAAGTAAAATCTCAACCCTCAGGAGGTAGAGGCGGAGGCAGGCAGATCTCTGTGAGTTTGAAGCCAGCCTGGTCTACAGAGTTCTAGGACAGCCAAGACTGTTACACAGAGAAACACTGTCTCCAAAAACTAAACAAATCCATTTAAGTATTTGTTTCTTCTGTTTACAATATAGTATTGTTTTGTATAAAATGTGAGCTTGAAAGAAATGCACAATGTAGCGTATTCCCTTCCACCCTCGTTTCTGCCGTAGCCACCATAGCACTACCTCTATCAGTTATTCGCAGTCTTAATGTTTTTTCTTTTACATTTCATTTTATAAAAGATTGTACAATGGTTGTTTGAATGGACATTGCAGATTTTCAAGTTATTTCCCCATGTTTTTAGTATTCAAAAGCAATGCTGCAAGGAATCTTTTTATACTTGGACTTAGAAACTTCACATCTGTTTCCTCCCAGTCAGGGTTGGGTTGGCTCAGGGTTTCCAGATCATACGTGAAAAAGTAACCTGGAGCTAAATGGTGGAAACCCCACAAGAGTTGCTTTTAAATCATTCCCTATTCTTAGCCCAAGATTCTTCGGCCAGCTCTCCTGCCGGGAGAAGAGATTATATGTGAAGGTCTCCGGGTCCTGCTAGACCCTGATGGTCGGGAAGAGGCCACGGGAGGTCTCCTCGGAGGTCCGCAGCTCCTGCCTGCAGAAGGCGCCTTGTTCCTCACCACATACAGAATTCTCTTCAGAGGGACTCCACATGATCAGCTAGGTATGACCCAGCACATGCCATCAGAGCAGGGGTCCCTGTATGGCACTTGAGATTTTATTCAGTCCATGACAATGATTTACATATCATTTCAAACCCAGAAAAGAAAAAAGGTAGATTTTTGAAATCTCATTTTGTTCTCTTTTCTTTGCAATTTTAATGTTGTGTGTTTTGGGAAAATGTTTTGTCAGAGAAAACCTTTTTTTAAATTTCTTTTTAAATTTCTAATTTAAAATTTCCCCTTTATTAACACATAGAAACTTGGGGGTTTTCCATGGATTATATAGGTATGGGTTGTTTAATACTTATTAGAACTTAAATGTATATCCCAGCTTTGCTTAACCTCTGGATATGAACTTAATAAGTGGATAGTCGGGATTTTTCAGGATGGAGGTTGACAAATCCAGAGAATGAGGAGTTCTGAGGAAAGGGAACAAATAAAAGCAATCCAATAATCCTAGTCCATGTCTTCCCTGCTCTGGCTCACTGGCTGAGGCCTTTATTGCTGTTTCTGTCATGTTATCTATCACATTACCTAAAATGCCTTCCCTCTTCCTCTGCAAATTCAAACCCTGTCCTCTCTCCAGAGTTTGTCTTCCCTCCCACATGTTGCAGAAACTCTCCTCTATCCACCAGCATAGAGATTGTCTCCTTTTCTGGAGTGCTCACTTGAACTGAGGCGTTGTTATCCTGTCACGGTCGTGTTCATGTGACATTCCCCGGATGGAGACCTGGAGACTGTCCAAGGAAGGCCATGATAATTCTTTTCTAGACATAGCTTCATACCCACAGGTGGTTTGTATTTTCACATTCTTGCTTTATAAAATGTTTAAGTTCCTAAAACTCTTGGACACGCATCTAGACTCATCTTCCAAAGGCTTTCTGGAAGAAACATTGAGCAGTACTGAATGAAAAAAAGAAATGAGAAGAAAAGAACATGAGAGCTTCTAGGTATGGTGGAGGAAAAGTTTATTGGAAATGTATGGGAGAGCATAGTGAGACAGGAACATCTGGTAGATTCAAGGTGGACATGACCAGACTGAGCTGGGCCATATGGGGAGAGGGAAGAAAGGGGTACCAGGTGCAGCAGCCAGGAGGCCAAAGTATAAAAGGGTGGGTTAAGAGCAGCCCAGCCCCCAGGACTGGTGAGTTCAGGGGAGGAAGCAGGGTGTACAAGCCAGAAGGTCCCTGTAATAGGAGTGGGGGGTGTTGGGAGCCCTGACAGGTCTACTTCCATATGTTAAATAGGTACCTTAGCCATTTGTACTGGGTTTGAAACTTAACAGATACCTTTTACTACATGTGGAAACAGATTTTTATAACTTAGGCCTATAGTACTAGCCCTCGTGAGGATGATGCAAGAGGATCATGAGTTTGTGATCAACCTGTAGTAACAAACTATCTCCCCTCAACCTCCCCAAAAATATGTTCTTTTTTTTTTTAACATTACGTTAACTATCTTGGCTTTCCTTTCAGTATTGGAGGTTACATCTTTATTAAAGCATAAATCCCATTCCTGTATGACTGCCTTACACTAGGCAATTTTATATGCACCCAATAGACAAAAACAATGAGAATGGACAGATGCCCCAGTTCCTATATTCTATAAAATATATATGTGTGTGTGTGTGTGTGTATATATATGTCTTAGGAGTGAATTGCAGTACAATAAAACAAATAAATGATTTTGGGTGTGATGGCACACTTGTTTAATTCCTGTACTTGGAGACAGAGGCAGGCAGATCTCTGTGAGTTCAAGGCCAGCCTGGTCTACATAGGATGTCCCAGGACAGTCAAGGCTATACAAACCTCGCCTTTTTTTTCTTTTGTTGTTGTTGCTTTGGTTTGTTCGTTTGTTTGTTTTTTTGAAATAGGGTTTCTATGTGTAGCCCTGGCTGTCCTGGAGCTCACTCTGTAGACCAGGATGGCACAAAACTCCGAGTTCTGCCTGCCTCTGCCTCCTGAGTGTTGGCATTAAAGGCCTATGCCACCACACCCAGCATGAGAGACCTTGTCTTTAAAAAACTGAGATTCTAGAATCTTGGCATTTTCTCTCACTGCATCCCTGGCATTGTTCTCTGCTGATATATGTCTTTAGAAGAGACTAGATCTTAGCTATAAAGTGCTATTGGTGAGTCTAAGTCCTGTCTTCTACAGTTGGTGAACAAACAGTTGTGCGGAGTTTTCCCATTGCCTCCATCACCAAGGAGAAGAAGATAACCATGCAGAACCAACTACAGCAGAACATGCAAGAAGGGCTGCAGATTACATCAGCATCTTTCCAGGTACACCATAAGTGTTTTAGATTTTAGAATACTTGCAAAGACTCTCTCACTTGATGTCCCGGTTCAAAACTCAAATCACACAGTATTTTTAGAATATTTTCAACTTTATATTTCCACATGCACAATACTCAACATATATCAAGAAAGAAAGCCCTTCTAATAAAAAATATTCTACAGATCTGGTAATGTATCTATTTTCTATGGTCATGGGGTCAGAAGTCAGAGGCTGGGCATAAGAAGGTGAGTATCTGGGAAGGTTGGCTTTGGCTTTGAATATGACACTACACTTCAGGGTTGCACAAATTCTAATTGGTTTTAATAAAAAAAAAACAGAGACAAATACTGGGGTAAATGCTGAAAAGATAAGAGAGACAAAGGAACAAGCCACAGCCAATTCTTACCTTGCTAACTCCTCAACTGAAAAAGGGGCAAGCTCCTGTCTCCTCCCACCTTAAATTTCTCTCTCTGCCCAGCCATATCACTTCCTGTCTGTACAGACCTCCAGACCTCTGTGGTTAACTAGGGGCTAGCACTATCCTCTGGTCTTTAGGAAAGCTTGATTTGTTAGAGCACAAAGAAAATTATCACAACACTTCAGGATTCCCTTGGCCAACAAATTATCAGTCAGATATACAATGGCTCTTATTCTCTGACAACTTATTTCTCAACTCCTGCTGATAAAACTTTAGGTTCAATAATTCTCTGTTTCAGAAGGAAATACTCTGTATCTTTTCTGTGGGAAAAATAAAACTCTGAGAAGTTTAGTTGAAGCTCAGACACTATTGTCAGGAATGACTAAGTGACCCCCCAATGAAACGGTGACTTTTCCAGAAGCCTCTGACTTACCAAACCTGTAGAAACAATGGTGCACACTGTGGGTGGGAGAAGGGACCTTTTCTTGATTATTTCTTTTTTTATTAATTTGTTATATTATTACTTAAAAAATACCAATCCAAATTCCCACTTCCTCCTCTCCCCCAACTCCCTTCCCTCTCCAGGCACAGACCCTCCCACCCCACCCCCACTAATCCTAAGAGAGGGCCATGCACCCCACCCTGTGGAAAGTCCAAGGCCCTCCCCCACTACATCCAGGTTGAGCAAGGTTTATATCCAAAGGGAATAGGATCCCAAGAAGCCAGTACATGCAGTAGAGACAAATCCCAATGTCACTATCAGAGGCCCTCAGTCTGCCCCAACTGTCAACCCCCTTCAAAGGGGCTTGGTTGTTCCCATGCTCGTAAATATCACCATAGAACCTTGGACCAACAACAGATGGGAACAGAGGCAATGATCCACATCGGAGTACTAGACTAAGCACCCAAGATCCAGTTGAAGAGTGGAAGGAGTGAGAGTATGAGCAAGGAATTCAAGACCATGAGGGGTTCATCCACTAAGACAGTTTACTTGAGCTAACGGTAGCTCACCAACTCTAACTGGACTGGGAGTGAATGAGCATTGATTGTTTCTTTTTAAAGTTTGTGTCTATAAGAGTTTGATTTTCCTATTCTTTGTTTCTTGTTGCTGACTTCTCAGACTCCCAAGAATCTCAGTGTTTGCCTCTCTCTTTCAAGTGGAGGGGCCTCACCTCAGAGGTCCTGTGCTCTTTCAGTGAAGCTGCTGGTTAGAACTTGACCCTTCTCACAACACCTGGCAGATCTTCCTACTGTTGTAGCTATGAATGAGTTCTACACTTAAATGTTGCCTATCTGCACTATTTGCAATTCTTGTGACACTGATTTTCTATTCCTAGATTTGTTTGTATCTATGGATAAGGAGGAACCCTATTAGGCTACATTCTTTCTCTAGACCAAGCAGTTGAGAAATAGAAAGAGCGCATTTTCTAATTCACCTAGGATAATTCCCTATGCCATTATAGAAAAGATAGTTTAAGAAAACCAACTTCAAGAGCATGATTCTTCTCATCAACTGACAGCCTGTATTGCAAATAAACTTTTCTAAATGTCACTTTTTTACTTTTAAGTTTTATTTTATTGTCTGTATATGCGCATGCATGTGATAATGTGTATGTAGAAGACAAAGAACAACTTTTTTTTAATTGAAAATTTCCACCTCCTCCCCTTTTTCTCCCCCTTCCCCCACTCCCCCTCCCCCTCCTTCTCCAGTCCAAGGAGCAGTCAGGGTTCCCTCCCCTGTGGGAAGTTCAAGGTCCTCCCCTCTCCATCCAGGTCTAGGAAGGTGAGCATCCAAACAGACTAGGCTCCCACAAAGCCAGTACATGCAGTGGAATCAAAACCCAGTGCCATTGTCCTTGGCTTCTCAGTCAGCCCTCCTTGTCAGCCACGTTCAGAGAGTCCGGTTTTATCCCATGCTTATTCAGTCCCAGTCCAGCTGGCCTTGGTGAGCTCCCATTAGATCAGCCCCATCATCTCAGTGGGTGGGTGCACCCCTCGCAGTCCTGACTTCCTTGCTCATGTTCTCCCTCCTTCTGCTCCTCATTGGGACCTTGGGAGCTCAGTCCAGTGTTCCAATGTGGGTCTCTGTCTCTATCTCCATCCATCGCCAGATGAAGGTTCTATGGTGATATGCAAGATATTCATCAGTGTGGCAATAGGATAAGGCCAGTTCAGGCACCCTCTCCTCAGCTGCCCAAGGAACAAGCTGGGGACATCTCCTTGAACATCTGGGAACCCCTCTAGAGTCAAGTCTCTTGCCAACCCTAAAATGTCTCCATTAATTAAGATGTGTACTTCCCTGCTCCTATATCCACCCTTCCTCCATCCCAACTGTCTGATTCCCCCAAGCTCTCCCCATCCTCCCCTTCTCACTTCTCTCTCCCCATCTCCCCTTACCCTCACCTTACCCCCACCCCCAATCTCCCAATTTTTGCCTGGCAATCTTGTCTACTTCCAATATCCAGAAGGATAACTATGTGTTTTTCTTTGGGTTCACCCTCTTATGTGGAGTCACTTCTCTCTACCCACCTTTCCATGGGTTCCAGGGATCAAACTCAGGTTACAAACACCTTCAGCTGCTGAACCATCTAACTGGTCACACTGTTTTCTTTTATATTATTATCCGAAGTTCCTACAACTTCAAAAATTCTATAACTTCTAAAGTTATAATTCTGTTACTAATATTTTTCTATTTAATATTGTTATTTTCTGTTCATTTTTATTTGTTGTTTTCAATGATGTGAGTAAAAGTTGTCAAGAAATCCTTAATGATTCAGAGCTGTCTGTCTCTTTTATCTTTAGTTGATTAAGGTAGCATTTGATGAAGAAGTCAGTCCAGAAGTGGTAGACATCTTTAAGAAACAGCTAATGAAGTTCCGTTATCCTCAGTCCATTTTTAGTACCTTTGCTTTTGCTGCTGGACAGACTACTCCACAAATCATTTTACCCAAGCAGAAAGAAAAGAACACATCCTTCCGGTAAGAGAGAAGATGGTCTCTTGCTGTCAGCCCTTCCATAGCCAACAGAAAAGTAACCTATAGTTTATTAATGGCTTTTCTCATAGTGTGTGTGTGTGTGTGTGTGTGTGTGTGTGTGTGTGTATAATCTTCATCCCATAGGTGTGTGGAGGTCAAAGGACACCTTGTGGAACTCAGTTCCCTCCTTGTTCCATCATGGTGATGTGGGTACCAGGGATTGAACTCAGGTCATCCAGATCATCAATAGCAAGCATCTTATACCTGCACTAAGCAATTTTGCTAGCACTTTTTACTCTTTTTTTTTTTTTTTGGTTTTTCAAGACAGGGTTTCTCTGTGGTTTTGGAGCCTGTCCTGGAACTAGCTCTTGTAGACCAGGGTGGTCTCGAACTCACAGAGATCCGCCTGCCTCTGCCTCCCAAGTGCTGGGATTAAAGGCGTGCGCCACCACCGCCCGGCTTTTACTCCTTATTTTTATCTTATTTTCTCAGTAATTAAAACTTATTTTCAAAAGGATTCTCAAATATCTGAGTTATTTTCTCCTCTTAAGACAGAAAAATTATTCTTTTTCTGTGGTTGAACAGGTTTACAGCTAGAGAAAAGGCATCATGCACGCGTACATATCTAAAACATTTAAGAAATAAGTGTTGCCAGCCATTAGTGTCATATGACCTCAGAGAAAGTTTGAAATGAAGGAAAAGGGAGACTTTCAGTGCATGATTGAAGACTTGCTAATATAGTTTATGGGAACCATGGTGGTATGGATAATGGAATAGGCTTAGGAATGCCCAAAAGTTAAACCAAGGAGTTTAACGTCTGAATGATCAGCTGGGCATGGTGGTACTCTTTTTAATCACAGCACTCATGAAGCAGAGACAAGTGGATCTCTGTGAGTTCAAGACAAGCCTAGTTTACATAGCAAGTTCCAGGACAGCCAGAGCTACATAGGAGAGCCTGGGGAGAAGGGATATTTGAGTGATCAGTAGTTTGTGTCACACTTTAAGCTCTTGTACTTTTTGCCTGGAACAGTGTCCTGATGGTAGTAATGTTTATAGGAAAGTAGTCCTCCACAATATGGAAAGTGATACAAAGAAGCTTAACAAAAGTATGCATCATAGTATGTCTGGAGAAGAAATGAGTAATATAGGTGTCAAAATATTAGTGGTGCCTTTTATATTAAATTGATTTTCTCTTTGTTTTTATGACTTCCAGAACTTTCTCAAAAACAATTGTAAAGGGTGCCAAAAAAGCAGGAAAAATGACAATTGGGAGACAGTATTTATTGAAAAAGAGGACAGGAACGATTGTGGAAGAGAGAGTAAATCGTCCTGGGTGGAATGAAGAAGATGACATTTCTGGTATGTAAGAACTCATTTTCCATAATTCAATTTTTTTTCTTTCTTTTTTCTTGAAACGGGGTCTTACTCTGTAATTTTGAATGGCTTGGACCTTGCTACCTATACCAGGCTGGCCTTGAATTCACAGAAATCCGCTTTCCTCTGCCTCCTGAGTGCTGGGGTTAGGTGTGTGCTCCCATGCCTGGCTACTCTTATATGAATAACAAGAGACTTAGTTGTAGCAAACTGTAATGTACAAAAACTGAAAACTTCACGAGTGCTTAACAGTTTCTCAGAACTGGCAAGATAAATTTTTACTAATATTCTATTGTTTAGATTTTGGAGCCGGGCGGTGGTGGCGCACGCCTTTAATCCCAGCACTCGGGAGGCAGAGGCAGGCGGATCTCTGTGAGTTCGAGACCAGGCTGGTCTACAAGAGCTAGTTCCAGGACAGGCTCCAAAACCACAGAGAAACCCTGTCTCGAAAAAGATTTTGGTTGACTTTTTTTTTTTCTTAATGAAGACAAGGTCTCATGTACTCCAAACTAGCCTTAAACTCACCATGTAACCAAAAATGAATTTCTCATCCTCTTGCCTTCACCTCTTGGGTGCTGGGATTACAGGTGTATGTGCCATCATGCCTGTTTTATAGTGCTGCATGCATATGATGCAAACACTCTAGCAACTGAGCTACATCCCCAGGCTGATGTATTATTGCTAACTTATATTACTAAGTCACATACCATCCATCTTTATCTGGGTCTTATTAAAGGGAGAAAGAAGGATATCCTACTTATAAAATAAGAATAAGGGAATAAGGATCTGGGTGGTGGTGGCACACACTTGTAATCCCACACTCGAGAGGCAGAGGCAGGCAGATTTCTGAGTTTGAGGCCAGTCTGGACTACAGAGCTAGTTCCAGGACAGTCAGGATTATACAAACCCTGTCTCAAAAAACAAAAAAACAAAAACAAATTCCAAGTTGAAAATTAGGGAAACCTAAGATGAAGAAATTCTAAGGTGATTAAAAAAATTACCTAAAAAAATAATTTTAGAAATACATAGAATTAACCAAGATACTTCTCAGCTGAGAAAGATTGAAAAAAGCAAGATATCTTGTTGACTGATTTTGTTTCCAGTTTTTGATCATTTATTGAGTATGCTATGGATATAATACATAAAATACAATGTAATGGAAGGATAGTGTCCCTTTTTGTATCTCAAGAACTTAGAGTCCATCAGTAGTAATTATACAACTAGCACCCATAGCAACCTTTTAAAAGAAACCTCATTTTTAGTGAGAGCATTGCCCAAAAAATGTTCACCTGACTTGCTAGAACAAAGAACCTACAAGATTTTATGTGTGTATGCTTCTCCACTGTAAGAAGGAATACTTACACACTTATCCCTGAGGGCAATAAAAAGATCTGTCATTCCATTGCTAAAATGAACACTTAGTAGAAAAACTCTGGCCTGCTCACAGTCATCTACAAAACGTTGCTAGCTGTAACTACTGAATCTCCTACTTTGAATTATTTCATGAAAAAAAATAATAAAACAGTCTATGACTAGACATAATGGTACATGGCTGAAGTCACAGCTCCTAAGGAGCCACAGAAGGAGGATCACTTCAGCTCATAAATTCAAGTCCAGCTTGGGACCCAGAGTGAGACCTTCCTCCAAAAATCAAACAATAAATATCATCACATGATAATTATATAATGTTCTTTCCTCTCTGAAACTAAAAAGACAACATGAAAATGGCATCTAAGTGTGTTATTGTGAAATTCTCAAGCTGAAACACCAAGTCTCATTTTTTAGGAATAATTGTTGTTGATAATACATATAGATGCGCTGTGTCCAGGTTAGCGTCATACACATTTTTCTGCCTCCACTTCCTAAGTGGTAGGATTACAGGCATGTGCCACCATAACTAGCTCTTTTGCTTTGTTTGGGGTTTTGGTTTTTATCTCATTTTGGAGAGAGCCATATCTTCTGTTTGTTTTTAAGACAGATTCTCTATGTGGTTCCAGCTGTCCCAGAACTCACTATATAGACCAGGCTGGCCTTGAACCCACAGAGATCTGCCTGCCTTGAGTGCTTTAAAGCCACGCAGCACCGTGCCTTGTCCTTGTCTGTTAGTACTCTTGAGTACATTTCTGAGAACTTTGAAAGTTTAACTTTTTTCATATTAAAAACAAATAAAAAATTAAGACAGTTTTTTTTTATAATAGCTTTTTTTTTAATTTATTTATTTATTAAGGATTTCTGCCTCGTCCCCACAACCGCTTCCCATTTCCCTCCCCCTCCCCCGATCAAGTCCCCCCCCCTCATCTGCTCGAAGAGCAATCAGGTTTTTAATATGAATTTTTGTTGTAGCTACATGCAGTACCAATTAGGAATGTCCTTTTATAAAAAAAAAAATCTTCTCTAAAGTACTTGGTTATTGAGTAAATTCTTTCAAATTTAAGTCTAAAAAGAGTGTCAGAGTTTTTTGTATATATTATATCCTCAAATGAAAGGATTTCCAGAAATCAATTCTACTATGCTTTTAGTTAACCTAAAAATTTCAATATGCATGTATTCTTATGAAAATAATACAAAAAGTTGGATAATGAGTTTGTGTGGTGATTAAAAATAAATTTTACTAACAGATTATCTTCTGTTTTAGAGTCCCGTATATAAATTACTGAACTTTAGTATCAACAGTCAGGCCTGACCAAAACAAAAAAATGTGGCTAATGGATTTAAAATCATGTTAATTTTAGTTGTTTTCCTTTTACTTTGTTTTGTTTCTTTTAAAGACAGAGTCTTAGGGTGTGTTCCTGGCTGACCTGGAATACACTAAGTAGCCCAGACTGCCCTTGAACATCTAGTAATCTGCCTTTACTTCTCAAATGCTGGGGTTTTAAAAGATGCAACTACCATGCCTCACTTAGTTTTTAGAAGTTATTTAAATGGTATTACTTCCCTGATTTTTTTTAGTTGTTACCCTTAATATATTTCCTGACTTCCATGACTATTTTCATCTATATTGAGCTATAATCCCTTGTAGAAATTATGTGATTTAATTTATGATATATAAAATCCTGGTAACTGTAACATAAAAACCTTCTTCAAAAGGAAGTTTTGAACTAGGCATATGGTATTGAATGTCTTGAATCTCAGCATTGGAGAAGCAGAGGCAGGCAGATTTCTGTGAATTCCAGACTCACCTTGTCTATGTATCAAGTTCCAGGTAAACCCAAGCTATATAGTGAGACCCTGTCTCCAAAAAGAAGTAGTTGTTGTTGCTGCTATTGCTGTTGTTTTGAGTCCTTTACTTTGAGCTAATCATTTTGACAAAACCTATTTCTGCCTGTCAGTTTCAGATGATAGTGAACTTCCAACAAGTACAACCCTGAAGGCCTCAGAGAAATCCACAATGGAACAGTTGGTGGAAAAAGCGTGTTTCAGAGATTATCAGCGCTTAGGTTTGGGAACCATAAGTGGCAACTCCTCCCGTTCAAAACCAGAGTATTTCCGAATCACTGCCTCCAACCGGCTGTATTCACTATGCAGGAGGTAAGTGTCAAATCAAAGAACTCCTAAAAGAGACCTTTCTTTATTTTCCATTCGAATACTTTTAAGAAAGTATTTCATAAACAAGATCCCAGACTTAAGAGATAAGTTTTTGCAATATTAGTTGGCATCCCATTTGTATCCTCAGAACAAGTAGGTGACTAAAAACTACCTCAGCTACAGCAGAAGGTAGCAGCACTTGTTCCCTCTCTGCGTTTTCCTTATTTGCTGTTTCGGGCATGTGTGTGAGGATGACCTAAAGTAAGAGTAGCATTTTCCCAGGTGGGTGGAAGAGAAGAATACCTGCTGTAGGCCTGAGGTCCACAGACGTTTTCCAGAGCCAGATTGCAGACCATGTGGCCTCTTACTGCCACCAAAGCAGTCGTAGACTAAGCAGTGAGTACATGTGATGGACTTTGGCCACAAGCTTTGATTTGCTGACCCAAATATAGATAGGGGCGCTCCTGTATTGTCTACTTATGTTTTCTAAGATACTACTTAAAGAATGTAAATAATGGGAGCTGGAGAGATGGCCCAGTGGTTGAGAGCATTGGCTGCTCTTCCAGGGGACCCAAGGTCAACTCCCAGCATTCATATGGCAGTTCTTACCTGTCTGTAACTCCAGTTCCAGGAGATCTGATGCCAATGCACATAAAATAAAGTTAAATAAATTTTTAAAAAAGAATGTAAATAAGCACATCTGTTCTGTGTTTCTTGCCATTTATTGCTGTTTTCTAAAAATGTTTTTTTATTTTATGCTTTACTATCTATGAAAATATATTCTTTAAAACTATATTCCACCTTACACAAATTTAATACTTTGATTACACAGTAGGTGATTTTACTTGAATTTATAAATTTCATTAAGTAGCTCTACAAAGCACTTTGTAAATTGTAAGCCTTGTCTGTATTTTAGCAAATTGCCTTAGCTGGGCAGTGATGGCTCAAACCTTTAATCTCAGCATTTGGAAGGCAGAGGCAGGCAGATCTCTGTGAGTCTGAGGCCAGCCTGGTCTATAAGAGCTAGTTCCAGGACAGCTAGGGCTGTTGCACATAGAAACCCTGTCTCGGTAATAAATAAATAAATGAATGAATGAATGAATGAATGAATAAATAAATAAATGAAAGTTGCCTTAATGTTGCTGTTAGTCTCAACTCTACTTGTTGAAAAACTCTAGGTTTATTGTTTTAAATGGTTTGGATGACTTTGTAAAACTTAGGAAGCAAGTTGGGACTATAGTTTGAGACTATAGCCAAGGAAAATATTTGCATGAAAAACTTAAAAAATTGGGACTCTACATAGACAGTCATTTTCTGGGCTTCTGTCCTTCACAGTAACTCCTCCTCATAAATAAATACAAGTGGAATTGTCGCTGTGATATCCAGCTAGGAAAAGCTTGCTATCAGAGTCATTTCTGCTAGTAAGAGAACAGACTTCATCATCTATCACTCCAACCTGTCAGAAACAGTAAAATCTTTTCTTTTTTATTGTAAGCTTATGACTATTGTCCTGGTTAGCATTTTTTGTAATTAAAATATAATTACATCATTTTCCCCTTCCCTTTCCTCCTAACCCCTCCCCATCCATCACTACGCCTTTGCTCTCTTTCTAAGTGATGTCGTGTTGTGTGTGTGTGTGCGTGCGCGTGTGCGTGCACGCGCAAGTGTGTGTGTGTGTGTGTGTGTGTGTCTTGTGTCTGTGTGCATGTGTTGTATAAATACCACCGTCTCGGTCCATATAAATGTTACTGTTGTCCTAGTTACCTAGTTGTCCTAGGATTACTATTGCTGTGGTGAAACACCATGACCAAAACAAATTGGGGAGAAAAGGGTTTATTCAATCACAGTTCATCACTAAAAGCAGTGAGGACAGGAACTCAAGCAGGCCAGGAACCTCGAGACAGGAACTGATGCAAAAGCCATGGAGGGGTGCTGTTCATGGCTTGCTTCCCCTGGCTTACTCAACCTGCTTTCTTACATACCAAGGACCATCTGCCCTGGAGTGGCCCCACCCACCATGGCCTGGGCCCTCCCCCATCAATCACTAATTAAGAAAATGCCCTACAGGCTTGCCTATGCCTGAGCTTAAGGACACATTTTGTCAATTGAGACCCCTCCTCTAATGACTCTAGCTTGTGTCAAGTTGACATAAAACTAGCCAATATGTGTGTGCCATGCATGTGTGAGTGTGTGAGTGTGTGTGTGTGTGTGTGTGTGTGTGTGTGTGTGTGTGTACACACATATGATTTCAGGGCTAATCACTTGGTATTGGATAACCACTTTCGGGACCCTTCCCTGGGTAAGACTATTTCTCCACTGTCAGCATTTCTTACTTACCAGTAGTTCTTTATGTAGGATTGAGGCCTGATAGTCTTTCCCTATCCACTTTCTCATGTCTGTTGCTGTCTTAATAGAGCATTGTTGGAACACTTCTTATTAGAAGGATTTATGGTAAAGTAAAAGAATATATATCAAGCAAACTATTGGAAGGAAATAGAAAACCAGTCCTGTCAAGGAGGAAAGAGAAGGGGAAGAAAGAAAAGAGAAATACAGAGAATACAAGAATGAGATCAAAGTCTTTCACACATATCAATAAGAAATTATAAATTGACTAAGTCTCCAATTAAAAGAAAAGGATTATGGAGAGCTTTTAAAAAGTGTTCTGCTGCTGTTACGGGACATGATTATTGTACAAAAATGCAAAAGGGGGACGCCCTCCACAGCCGGCGGGGACCAACTGGGACCTGCTGGGATCCGAGCGGCAGCAGAGGACACAGGCCGCAGGCGGCGGGAACAGTCGTGGCAGCAGAAGCAGGCTGCAGGGACCGCGCGCAACAACGAGAGCAGATCTCCCCACTACAATTAAATCAAAGAGGTAGGCCTTTGATTGGGGAGGTCCCTGGCAAAGGAGGGGCCGGGTCCTATTCCTGAAGACCCTTCTGAGGGGTGAGAGGGATCTTGGCCCCCGGCAGGAACCAGGAAACAGAGCAAGGGCATTTTGTAAGAGGAGCCCCTGGCCAGCAGGGAAACCTGAACCAGTTTTAACAGACCCCTTAGATAGCATCGATAGGAGGAGATGGGCAGGCGCCAAGGCAAGAATTCACCCAATAATCTGAAAAACAGCATGAAAACACCAGAAGCCAATGATCTTACAACAGAAGGTCTTCAACACCCTAACACAGAAGAAGTGGAAAAAATTGACTTTATGAAAGCAATAGAGTCCCTTAAACAACATGTGAAAAATGCCCTTATAAAAATGGATGAGAAGTATAACCAAAAATTTGAAGAAATGAGTAAATACATACATAATACCCTGGGAAACCAAGAAAGAACGATCAAACAGGTAATGGAAACAGTTCAAGAATTGAAAACTGAAATGGAAGCAAGGAAGAAAACACAAACTGAGGACCAGCTGGATATGGAAAATCTAGGTCAACGAGCAGAGCCTACAGAAACAAGCATAATCAATAGAATACAAGAAATAGAAAAAAGAATCTCAGATTCTGAGGACACCATAGAGAAAATAAACGCTCTGATCAAAGAAAACTGCAAAGCTAACAAATTCTCATCACAAAACATTCAGGAATTATGGGACACAATAAAAAGACCAAACCTAAGAATAATAGGAATAGAAGAAGGAGAAGAGTCACAGCTCAAAGGCCCAGAAAATATTTTGAACAAAATTATGGAAGAAAACTTTCCCAACATAAAGAAAGATATTCCTTTGAATATTCAAGAAGCATACAGAACACCAAACAGACTGGATCAAAGAAAAACATCCCCTCGCCATATAATAATCAAAACACAAAATATACAGGTTAAAGAAAGAATACTAAGAGCTGCAAAGGAAAAAGGCCAAGTAACTTATAAAGGTAAACCGATCAGACTTACACCTGATTTCTCTATGGAAACAATGAAAGCCAGAAGGTCCTGGATAGAAGTACTGCAGAAGCTAAGAGACCATGGATGCAAGCCCAGACTACTATACCTAGCCAATCTTTCGTTCACTATAAATGGAGAAAACAAGACATTCCAGGATAAGAACAAATTTAAACAATACGTAGCCACGAATCCAGCCCTACAGAAAATAATAGAAGGAAAATCGCAACCCAAGGAATCCAACATTGCCAACACTGCCTACAATAACTGAGGCATCTAGAGACCCTTCACTAGCACAACTCAAAGAAGGGAGACACACAAATTCTACTTCCAAAAACAATACGAATATCCGGCGTAAACAACCATTGGTCATTAATATCACTTAATATTAATGGTCTCAATTCACTTATAAAAAGGCACAGGCTAAGAGATTGGATACAAAAACAGGATCCAACATTCTGCTGTTTGCAAGAAACACATCTCAACCACAAAGACAGGCATCTACTCAGAGTAAAGGGTTGGGAAAAGGTCTTTCAAGCAAATGGTCCTAAGAAAAAAGCAGGTGTGGCCATATTAATTTCTAACAAAACTGACTTCAAACTAAAATCAATCAGAAGAGATCGAGATGGACACTTTATACTCATAACAGGAACAATTCGTCAGGATGACGTCTCAATCCTGAATATCTACTCCCCTAATATAAAAGCACCCACTTATGTAAAAGAAATATTACTAGAACTCAAGGCAGACATTAAACCACACACACAAGTAGTAGGAGACTTCAATACACCTCTCTCAGCAATGGACAGGTCAATCAGACAGAAATCTAATAGAGAAGTAAGAGAACTACTGGAGGTAATGAAGCAAATGGACTTAACAGACATCTATAGAACATTCTTCTCTGCAGCTCATGGAACCTTCTCGAAAATTGACCACATACTCGGAAACAAAGGAAACCTCTACAGATACAAAAAAATATCAGTGTCCACCTGTGTCTTAGCAGATCACCACGGATTAAAGTTAGAATTCAACAACAATCCTACCTCCAGAAAGCCGACAAACTCATGGAAACTGAACAGTCAACTACTGAACCACACCTGGGTCAAGGAAGAAATTAAGAAAGA